AAGCCCAGAATCTGATGGCTCTGACGAATGTGGACACACCTCTCAAGGGAGGGCTCAACACTCCGTTGCATGAAATCGATCCGTCGATCAGCGGTGTTCTGACTCCGGGAGGCATTGGAAAGACACCACTTTCTGTGACGCCAAACAATATGATTGCGACCCCTTTTAGGACACCCGCCGGCGTTGACAGCAGTTTGGCCGCCACTCCACGTACGCCCGGCTCTGTGTCATCAGTTGGCGGTCAGACACCTTTGGCCACACCTTTGAGAGACAAACTGGCCATCAATGCAGAGGAGGCGCTGGTTTTCGACGACGAAAGGACTGCAAAACAACAACAAAAGGAAACGCGAGAAACGCTGCGAAAAGCGTTGTCCGCATTGCCGGCGCCTAAGAATGAGTACGAGATTGTGGTCAACGAAGAGGATATGGACGACACGTCTGTCGACACCAGTGTTTCAGTGGAAGATCAGGCAGACATCGACTCGAGACGTGAGGCGCAGCGCATGGAAGCGATTCTCGAAGAACGCAAACGACAGTCACAGCCCGTCCAGAGAGATCTGCCGCGACCTTCAGATGTGAACGACTCTATACTGAGAAGCGGTGCACTCAATGACCCGCAGGTGACGGACATACAGAAAGCCGAGGAACNCGACTCTATACTGAGAAGCGGTGCACTCAATGACCCGCAGGTGACGGACATACAGAAAGCCGAGGAACTCATCAAAGAGGAGATGTTAGTGATGTTACACTACGACGCCATACATAACGCCACCGACAATCAGTTAATTGTTAGCAGTTTGAGGTCTCGGGGCGGCACCTCCAACCCAAACGCTCCTCATTTGGCGTATTTAGAAAAGCATCCGTACGTCAAATACAGCGCCGAACAGTTGGTCGCCGCTAAGGATGTACTGCACAATGAGATGGATGTCGTGAAGCAGGGTATGGCCCACACGGAGCTCACGTTTGAGGGCTACTGTCAAGTGTGGGACGAGTGTCTGTCACAAGTCCTATACCTTCCCTCTCAACACAAGTACACCAGAGCTAACATCGCTAACAAGAAGGACAAGATTGAGTCACTCGAGAAAAGGTATGTCCATCGAGCGCAGCGCCCGGTGCTTATGGGCTTTAAACGTTTGTTCATTTGTTGACCTATAGGTTAGACCAGAATCGGTCTCATATGACAAAAGAGGCGAAAAAAGCCGCAANTCCCTCTCAACACAAGTACACCAGAGCTAACATCGCTAACAAGAAGGACAAGATTGAGTCACTCGAGAAAAGGTATGTCCATCGAGCGCAGCGCCCGGTGCTTATGGGCTTTAAACGTTTGTTCATTTGTTGACCTATAGGTTAGACCAGAATCGGTCTCATATGACAAAAGAGGCGAAAAAAGCCGCAAAAATCGAGAAGAAGTTGAGAATTCTTTTGGGCGGATATCAGACCAGAGCTCAACAATTGGTGAAACAGACCAACGATTTGGTGGAACAGGTGGAACAGACTACTCTCGAGTTGCAGACGTTTACCATTCTTAAGGATCACGAAGAGTTGGCCATTAATAAGAGGATTGAGGTATGGATTTGTTTTTGATTATAATTAGTGAGCATTTTGTCTGACAATTGATGTCTGTTTTGAATAGTCTTTAAGCGATGACGTGAAGAGACAGAACACGAGAGAAAACTCACTCCAAGAGCGATACGACACTTTGATCCGCAAAAGAGACCAACTTTTAGCACAACTTCAAAGCGACGCAAATAAAAGCAGTGATTAAACGCTGTTTCCGATCAGTTTTCGTTGTTTTATTTGTTTTAAACACTTATTTTTATTTCAATTCATCATTTGACGCATTTATTGCTAAATACAAAGCGACAGTTTATTTAAGTTGATTGCTATACACAACACTTATTCTGTAGATTTATGTGTTATTTTGGGCAAACAATTTGTTGTAATATATTTTGATAATCAAATGTCAAACGAGTTATTCATTCGCTGTATGCTCTCATCAACTGAATCCAATTAAGGCATAAAATAAAAGTTTTGGTAATTTCAATATACTGTAAATGATTTGTTGCTGTGATTACGGTATTCATAGAATTTGTGTCAATTTTTTGTGATTTCTTACAGAATATTCATCGCTTTCCTATATATATAGATAACAATACATTGAAAGCACAGAATATTCTTTACGCTCAAGAATTCAATTCTTGAACGCATAGCATTGTGTGAGTGCGCGCATACCTGTGCTCGCATACAAACAACACATTTCCTAAGGAACGGTAGGTGGACGTCATGTTAAGTAAGAATTCATGATATAACTCATTGGCACCAGTAGTACATGAGTGGGAATGGTGAATATATGCGGCAAACATAGCAACTGTAGTCCGTCTACAGGCACTTGTAGTGGATGTGTGTGTTATGCAAGGGATGCCTATCTATCCGAGTCTGTCATACAATATGTGCGAAGTATTGAAACACTACTCAAAGTCTAGTATTGTTTACAAACATTGCTTTCATTAATACATTTCACTCACTATTGGTATTCAATTCAATACAAGGATTTAGTGTTCATTTCAATTGTTCTCCATTTGTGTGTCAATTGAGTGCTATTTGTGCGACAATTAACTCATTATAAGCAGTGATTAGCCGTCACTTCAGTCACTGTTTTGTCTGCTTTTGAGTCCAAAACGATTGATTTGCAGTTCATTATAACCACTGATTGTCTGCCAATCGATACTTCATTTGTCTTTCAATTGAACCCAACATGGCTTCGGATCACGTCTTAAGTATTATCTCTTAATCCACTCTTTCATTGCGTTAATCCCTCTCACTATCGGACTTACCATTGATTGTCTCATAAATAAGACACAGTCTTGTCTTGTGTCCATTGAGTCGATGACTAATGTAATGACAATTTGTCTGAAATGTCAGAAAACGACACAAACCTCACTCAACACATGAGGCACTCGAGCTCTGAAGACACGTCCGGACCCGACGAAGACGTGGACAACCAAACGGCTGATGCCATCGATGTGATAGAAGAAGACAATAATAGGAAAGACTCTAAAAGTGATGACAAATCCATGGGC